TGTAATTCTAACAATATCAACAAATATCTGATGCATAATATTAGTCAAATCTTAGGGGTGGGAAGAGATAGTGAAGGCCAGGGTAAAGAATCTGTATCCTTAATATTGTCCCAGTGGGATGGACTTTCTCAGTGCAATTAGATAGCCACTAGACACATTTAAGTGTTGCCATTTAAGTTTAAACATTAATTAATTAAAATTTAAGGAAATCGAAAATTCAGATCACATTGCATTCTTTCAAGGGCTCCAGAGTTACATATAGTTAGTGGCTTCCATAATGGACAGTGTGGGCATAGAACATTTTATTTATATCAGAAAGTTCTATGGAATAACACTGAGTTAGAATGAACCAAATGAAGGATGCCATCTGACTGGGATGGCACTCTTTGGTCTGCCCATATGGATTAAAGGCTAACCAGGGGGCATGATACAGAAGTCAGATGATACAGGCATAAATGAGAGATATGGTTCCCGTGCTAATGGTGCTTAGGGCTCAGGTAGATACAAGTACTCAACACATTTCACTATACAGTACAGAAATTTCAAACCTATGCTGCGCATAGATGGCATCTGAATGAATATGTTGTCAAGTACAAGGTTCTGTTTCAACAGGTCTGAGGCAAGGTCTGACAATCTGTATTTGTATCAGACTCTTCCCGATGACGCTCATGACATTAATGATGCCAGTACCCAAAAATAAACAAGCTCAGAATTAAACAAAAATAGAGACCTTCCTTCACCCTACATACAACAAACATCACCATATGTTCTGTATTTTTAGGTCTACAGAGCCTTGTGCTGACCTACGTCAGTGCCATCAACAGTGGGGATCTGCCCTGCATGGAGAACGCACTCCTGGCCTTGGCCCAGAGAGAGAACTCAGCCGCAGTGCAAAAGGCCATTGCCCACTACAACCAGCAGATGGAGAAGGTGCAGCTGCCCACAGAGACCCTCCAGGAGCTGCTGGACCTGCACAGGGCCAGTGAGAGGGAGGCCATTGAAATGTTCATCAGGAGTTCATTCAAAGATGTAGACCACCTATTTCAAATGGAATTAGCGGTATT